CGCGGGGCCAACAAGAATCCAAAGCGTAGCACCGTGAATTGGAAATGGCACTGGCCCACCACAAAATGGAGGAACAGTCTGGGCCCTTGGAAGATGGAGATATGAAAGTATGCGTCCTTCAAGTCAAGGGTGATGTACCAGTCTCCCAGATCCAGGGAGGGATTGATGCAGGCCAGGGAGACTATGCGAAACTTCAACTTTTTGAGATACTTGTTGAGGTGTCGCAGGTCAAAAATGGGTCTTAGGCCTCTTTCATTTCCGAATTAAGAAATAGTGGGAGTAGAACTCTTTTCCCCTCATGTCCCGGGGGACCTCCTCCACGGCTCCCAGTCATAGGGGGTTTTCCACTTCTTGAACGAGGAGTTGCTCGTGGGAAGGGTCCCTGAAGAGGGACAGGGGAGGGAGGGAAGGCCGAAAATTGCAGGGTGTCGTCCAGAGATATTATGCCGAGCACCCAGCAGTCAGAGGTTACTCGCGACCAAGCCGACCGGAAGGGACGCATGTGGTTGAGGAATGACTAGGGTGGTGGATCCTGAGGCTTGACTGGGCACCATCCTTGAGCGTACCCTCAAAACGAGTGCTTCTGGCCCCCTTGGTGTTTTGAGAAGCCCGGCTGGATGGGTGAACGGAAGACAGAGGGGCAACGGTGACAGCTGAACACCATGTCTTTATCTCTTTTCTTAGAGGAGCCCTGCCAGAGAAGCCAAGGCCTAGATCATGGGGGTGGCCTGAACTGTCTCCTCGTTGACTGCGGCATATGCAAGCCTAGCGAGCAGAGGGTATCTTGAGTGTCATTGAGTCCATGCAGCCTCGCAGCCATTTGCTCCGAGAAGAGTCCACTCCCGTCAAAGGGGAGGTCCTGGATGGAGGACTGCATCTCCTGGGACAGACCCGCGGATTGAAGCCAGGAACTCCGCCCCATCACCACGGCTGAGGTAACAACCCTGACTGCCAACTCGGCCGCATCCCAGGCCATCCAGAGGGAGCTCCTCGCCACAGCGGTACCCTCCTCCAAAATGGTGGCAAACTCCTGGCCCAGGTCCTCGGGCAGGGAGCCTTTAAACTTCTTTAGGGAGTCCCACAAAATAAAATTGTATCTGCCCAATGGGGCTTGATGGTTAGACACTCGAAACTCAAGGCTGTTAAATAAACTTTCCTTCCGAAAAGGTCCAGCCTCTTGCCATCTTTCTTTTTGGGAGTGGAACTCGCCTGCCCTTGCCTGTCCCTTTTATTAGCCGCAGAAACGACCAGCGATCCCAGGGGCGGGTAGGTATACAAGTATTCAAACCCTTTAGCAGGCACGAAATATTTCTTTTCAGCCCACTTGGAAGTTGGCGGGATAGAGGATGGGGTTTTTGCCAGAGGGCCTTGGCTATCTTTAGAACCCTTTCATGCACAGGATATGCGACCTGCGAGGGGGTTGTCGCTGGAAGCACATTGAATAGGTTGTCCAATTGCTCTGTCATTTCCTCCACCTCCAAGCCCAAATTCAAGGCCATCCTTTGCAGTAGGGATTGGTGCTCCTTGAAGTCATCAGGTGAGCTGGCCTGCCCACGCCCCACAACTGCCTCGTCTGGCAACAATTGTACCACTGGGGGAGGGGCTGGAGCATTATCCCCCTCCTTTGCAGTGGGCATCTGCTCTCTCCCATTCTGCACTTGTCCTTGTTGAACCTCATCAGATTTCTTTTGGCCCAATCCTCCAATTTGTCTAGGTCACTCTGGACCCTATCCCTATCCTCCAATGTATCTACCTCTCACCCCCAGCTTAGTGTCATCTACGAACTTTGCTGAGGGTGCAATTCATCCCATCATCCAGATCATTAACAAAGATGTTGAACAAAACCAGCCCCAGGATCGACCCTTGGGGCACTCCACTTGATACCGGTTGCCAACTAGACATCGAGCAGTTGATCACTACCCGTTGACCCCGACAGTCTAGCCAGCTTTCTATCCATCTTATAGTCCATTCATCCAGTCCATACTTTTTTAACTTGCTGGCAAGAATACTGTGGGAGACCATATCAAAAGCTTTGCTAATGTCAAGATATATCACGTCCACCACTTTCCCAATATCCACAGAGCCAGTTATCTCATCATAGAAGGCAATCAGGTTGGTCAGGCATGGCTTGCCATTGGTGAATCCATGTTGACTGTTCCTGATCACCTTCCTCTCCTCCAAGTGCTTCAAAATGGATTCCTTGAGTACCTGCTCCATGATTTTGCCGGGGACTGAAGTGAGGCTGATCATCTGTAGTTCCCCAGGATCTGCATGGGGAAGGCTCCCCAACTCCCTAACAATACCTCCCCCCCAAAAAAATAACTGTTCTGTACTTCTCCTACCCACACCCAACAACCCTGCAAGATCACTCCCAGGCTTTTTTCCAGCAATTACTTCCCTCTGCCTCAGCTCCTCTGTTACCCCTGATCCCCCCAAGATTTTGCTCTGCTTCTGAGGGGTGCAGGAAATATATTTCTGTTTACATTAATTACTCAAAGTTCTGTATTAATATACCTAGTAAGGAATCTATTTGTCAAAAAACATTTCCTGAATCTTTTTTGTTGTCTGCATTGTTACAGACATATTTGCTGACAGGTATCTTGAAATAAAATTAGCAAAATAACGGAAACTGGTATGATTATATTGTTATTCTGACAAATAAAATATGCAGAATTTTAAAATATTGTGCACAGAATTTTAAGATTTATTGGGGTAGTCTTCCTCCAGGAGTATAGGAGTTGCAGCAGTCAAGTCTGAAGGACGTGGTGCATCTGTGGCAGCCAGACCGTCTTTAGATGATCAAAGCACTACCGATGATGGGTCCAGACCAGCACTCAAACTGAATGGGCCAACACCTATCCTCTTGCTTTTGTACCAAGGTGACTGACTGATCTTTCTTTTTATGTGCTTTACCCTCTAATCTGGGAGTCTTCACTGGAGTCAGTTCCTTAAGTTCAGAATGTGATGTCTCACTCGACCTGAAGTGGCTTGGGGAGGAAGCATGTTTCTTATGGACAGTCCTCAAAGAGGATCTGTCCTTATGCCCATGAGAGTGCCCTCTAGTCTCATGGGGAGCTCTAGAAGAGTCTTGGGGCTTAGATGTTGGCACATACTTGGGGGGCACTGTTGGTCAGTTGAGGCTGACGTACAGGGAGGTCTCCCTGGCCCGGATCAGAAAGGGGCCTCATAGCCTTCTCCATTAGGTGCTTTCATAGGTGAAGCTCCCAGGCTTCTCGAGTTCTGGCTGGGAAGGAGCAACAGATACTGCACTTTGCAGAGATCTACCTCTCACCTAGACAGTACAGATATCATTGATGTTCAACACTAATGGAGAAGGAGCGAGGGCTGGAAACACAATTCTTGAATCCCAGTTAATATAGTGACAACCTTTTCACTTGTGAAAAAGTATTAAAATCAATTATCATTCAAAATACTTCTTATGGGAGTCCTGATTCTAAACCAACTTTTGAAGGAAAATTAACTGTAGTTTATACTGTTTCCCAGACTGTTTTTTACAGACTAAATAATAATTTGAGCACATTTCAAAATGAGTATCTGTAACTACAGTAGCAGGATCAAACACAGCCTTATACAACTGGAATTCTGCAGAACCACTCTTGGGTTCAATTAGACAGGAAGCAACAGCAATTTATGAACTTTTGAAAGAGCCTTGTAAATTAGTATTGTGATAAGATTGGATTCTGCTAATACTGCTTGTATATTGAATTATGTAAAATGCTTAATACTAAACAAACAAAAAGTTAAGATAAACAAGGATCCCAAAACAGATAAGAGCAATGAGATAAAAATCAGTGACAAAGAATTCATGCGTCTGACGAAGTGGGTATTCACCCACGAAAGCTTATGCTCCAATACATCTGTTAGTCTATAAGGTGCCACAAGACTCTTTGTTGCTTTCTACAAATCTGATACAGAATCTCAATCATTGCTATTGTAAGTAGCCCTAACAAAGGTTGAATGGTGATATTTTCTGGGGGTGCAATACAGAGTCAAATTTTTGTGGCAAACCATGAGATGGTTCTGACTAAATTCTTCAAAATAGTGGACCTGAAATCTCCAAATATAGCAACAGCCGTGATTTCAGCAAATCTGTTCTCTTTCTTTTTAAAGAGAATCTGTCTGTGAACAGTTAAAAGAATCAAGTAGCATAAAGGCAGGAACCATTGGTCCACCTAGTCCAGCAACCTGCTCCCAAGAGTGGCATTTAATTTGGAAGCTCTCCAATAATTGCACCTACTTAATATTTCAATGTAGAAGGAAAATAGGTCTTTTGACCAGCAGATCTCTTTGAAATTCTTTAGACAGACATCCATTGAAACACATGAGCTAGCTTTCTACCCTACTTTAGCTGGTTTATACTTCATCTCTCTGCATCCTCTCTGGGTGATTTTGTCCGCAAGAAACTTCAGCCATCTTTATCTTCATTCTGCCAGGTGGTACATAGTATGTAAATTTACTTTTACCAGTTATATTTGCTGCTAATCAATTTTACATTTACCAAGAAGAAGGTTTTTAAAAAGTGAAAAACCAGAAGGATTAAGTGAGAGTAGTTCTATAGTAATGCTTCATCTTCAAAGTTTTACATTCAAGTCCTGCTTGAACCATAAATTGTTTAGTACTATACAGCACATAGAAGTGAACCCCACTTTGTTTAAATGGATGCTTCTTCACAATACATTGCTAAAAATATCACAATTAGTAGTTCTCTGATAAAGAGAAGCTTAAGGCATGTTTTCAAGTCATATTCTAAATACACTGACAATCATATGATGTAGTTCATATATAGTTAAGCCTCACTAGAGTAGGCCTGTCTAGGCCTTCCTATTCAATATTCACCCAAAATGTAAACAAAAAAAATGACAGAAAATTCAATAGATCATTTTGCATAGCGTACTGAGGAAAGTTTTATCTTTTAAAGGTGTTAAAATCATATATTACATATAAAAAATGGTCTTGACATTGTGTCTATGTAGACTGACCTTTTTGATTCTCCCAGTTTTCTTTGATTCCCCACTGGGCTTATTCTTGTTTTCATTAAAAACTTCACAAGAGACATCTGTAGCCTCACATACTGAAATTTCATTTTCAATACCTAGAAACCAAGTGCATCAAAAGTTTAGAACCTTGCGGAGAAAGCAAGGTGCAATCTGGTTAAAAAAATTCTAAAAAAAGGTTTTGGAAATCTTTTCACCCAAGTACCAGCAAATACAACTAAAACATTTTCAAAATATAATTTGCATATTAATATTTGTGGTATTTACTTTTCTGTTTCACTCAAACTATGACAGTGCATTTACACTCCTATGTCTCTGGTTTAGCCTCACAATTTCTAGTCTCGTGCACAGTGGCACAATGATACAGTATGTGGACTTTCAAAACACACAAAGGCATTTTTATTTAGAAAAGTATTCAGAATTTCTTTGTATCCACACGAAGCCTAAATTTGGGGACATAAAGCACTGATGTTTGAATTTTTCCTTATATGTCAATGTTTATTAGCCTACTTAAAATGAATTGGTGGTCTCAGGCCTATTTTCAAGTCATACCCCTCCAACACAATTGGCACCTTGTCATCAGGTAGAGGACTAAATGGGCATGGAGCCTAGCTACTACTCTAAATATGGCCCTCCAGAAAAGGATAAGCATGTACTGTCATTGCCTGTGCTGTATCTGTTCTGTGATTTAATAACTTTCAGTCTCCAGGGTTGTCAAAACCACTTTTGAGAAGTTAATTTGCGTTATTAAGATATATACACTTTGATCAATCTTTTGATAAACGCAGGTTTAATTACGGAAGATTTAACTAGGTCATTATTGCCAATTTAGTTTACTCGAGTCTAGTCTAGGACATTGCACAATTGTTCATTTCAAAATGTTAAGGTCTTGTTAAAGAAAGTTTAGTGCACCAGGTATTCGAAATTCAACTTCCCCCAAATAAGCTGATTTTCCATTTCTTTTAGAGGATAAAATACGAAAGTGTATTAAATCAATATTCATGAATATAACTGCATTTAAAACTTGACCAAGCAAAATGAATCATATACATGATTTTTTTAAAAAAAATCTTCATTACTAAAATATAAAACTTTCAAATTCTCTATCAACTATCCAAGAACACCGAAGCATTTTAAAAAATGACTTTTTAAAAGGACAAAAATATGGCAAGTAATTTAAGAACAAAAAAGTGTCCTTTATCCATTATAATTATTAGTATTTAAATGTTTTCAGTTTTAATCTAGTTAAGTATTCTACCATTTCTTCTATTTAATGTGTGCACCTTACTCATTATTTAGATGATAAAATCAAAATAGTAAGTTTCATTTGGATTTAGTATGTCACATTCTGGTTCTGATGGAACAAAAAAAAGCTGATGAGATTTAATTCCAACACTGCAGAGTAGTATTTATATAATGAAAATTCTCACTCATTCATGAAGGCATATACCTTAATATTACATTTCAGGTAAAATCCTTTCATATGCAAGAGCTAAAATTGGGATTTAATTTAAATTAAAGTGTCCTTTTAAACGCAGAGTACCAATTACATAGCTTTAGCATATTGGTTTTTTATATATATAATTTGAATTACATTTGTGCCTACTGGCCCCAATTATAGACCAGGATTCCATCAGGCAAGGCACTGTATAGAAAACTATAAAAGTAGGGCTGTCGATTAGTCGCAGTTAACTCACACGATTAACTCAAAAAATTAATCACTCTGTTAAACAATAGAATACCAATTGAAATTTATTTAAATATTTTTGGATGTTTTTCTACATTTTCAAATATATTGATTTCTATTACAATACAGAATACAAAGTGTACAGTGCTCACTTTATATTTTTATTACAAATATTTGCACTGTAAAAATGATAAACAAAATAAACAGTATTTTTCAATTCATATCATATAAGTACCATAGTGAAATCTCTTTATTGTGAAAGAGTAACTTACAAATGTAGATTTTTTTTTGTTACATAACGGCACTCAAAAACAAAACAATGTAAAATTTTAGCGCCTACAAGTTCACTCAGTCCTACTTCTTGTTCAGCCACTCACTAAGACAAACAAGCTTGTTTACATTCCGGGAGATACTGCTGCCTGCTTCTTATTTACAGTGTCACCTGAGAGTGAGAACAGGCGTTCGCATGTCACTTTTGTAGCCGGCTTTGCAAGGTATTTACGTGCCAGATATGCTAAACATTCGTATGCCCCTTCATGCTTCGGCCACCATTCCAGAGGACATGCTTCCATGCTGATGATGCTCGTTAAAAAAATAGTGCATTAATTAAATTTGTGACTAAACTCCTTGGGGGAGAATTGTATGTCTCCTGCTCTGTTTTACCCGTATTCTGCATATATTTCATGGTCTCGGATGATGACCCAGCACATGTTGTTCATTTTAACAACACTTTCACAGCAGATTTGACAAAATGCAAAGAAGGTACCAATGTGAGATTTCTAAAAATAGCTATAGCACTCAACCCAAGGTTTAAGAATTTGAAGTGCCTTCCAAAATCTGAAAGGGATAGGGTGTGGAGCATGCTTTCAGAAGTCTTAAAAGAGCAACACTCTGATGAGGAAACTACAGAACCCGAACCACCAAAAAAAAAAAAAAAAAAAAAAATCAAATTGCTGGTGGCATCTGATTCAGATGATGAAAATGAACATACATCGGTCTGCTCTGCTTTGCATCGTTATAGAGCAAAACCCGTCATCAGCATGGAGTACGTCCTCTGGAATGGTGGTTGAAGATGAAGGGACATATGAATCATTAGCGCATCTGGCATGTAAATATCTTGTGACACTGGCTACAACAGTGCCATGAGAACTGCTGTTCTCACTTTCAGGTGACATTGTAAACAAGAAGCGGGCAACATTATCTCCTGCAAATTGTAACCAAACTTATTTGTCTGAGCGATTGGCTGACGTAGGACTGAGTTGACTTGTAAGCTCTAAAGTTTTACATTGTTTTATTTTTGAATGCATTTTTTTTTGTACATAATTCTACATTTGTAAGTTCAACTTTCATGATAAAGAGATTGCACTACAGTACTTGTATTAGATGAACTGAAAAATATTATTTCTTTTGTTTTTTACTGTGAAAATATTTTTAATAAAATAAATATAAAGTGAGCACTGTACACTTTGTATCCTGTGTGGTAACTGAAATCAATAGATTTGAAAATGTATAAAACATCCAAAAATATTTAAATAAATGGTATTCTATTATTGTTTAAGAGTGCAATTAATCGCGATTAATTTTTTTAGTCACTTGACAGCCCTATATAAAACATTTATTTACAAGTAAAGGATTAAAAACATTAAGAAATATAATATGTAGCTGTGTGACGGGGTATAACTAGCCCACACTGGCCCACCTGGAATTGTCCACACAGTGGGCTGAAGAGGCCATGCCCCCTTGCCCCTGCTGGGCATGCTCTAGCTGGAAGCAGGATATACAAGGTAGCAGCCCTGCTCAGTCTGGACTGACTGAGGAGGAGAGTGAACGTATGCTGCAGGCTCCTGCCAGAGAACTGCTAGAGTTCCAGACTTCCGAGGCTGAAGACATGGCATCTGAGCTGGAACTCCCCTCAACCGCAGAGGATCAGAGTGACAGGAGGTCACTACCCCCAAGGGAACTGACGGAGCCAGAATCAAGGGTAGGAGGCAGCCCAGGGAATACAAAGATTAAAATGGGAAATCGAGCCTGAATCCAGGACTACAGGTTTCATAAGGCCCGGGTCAGGACCTGGTAGGGTAGGGTGAGCCTAGGGCCCCCTATCCTGCCCCACATTTACCACTGGGTGCAGGCACATGTAGGGCTGACATGACTGGCCAAGGGCAACTCCAATGACTCTGGGCACTAGGCGAAACTGCCCTGGGAGCAAGGGTGGCCCTATGGATTCTGGCCACTAGGCCAAGCTGCCCTAAAGACAGAGAGCACCCTAGTGACTCTTGCCATTTGAGCCATAGCTACTCCTTTAATTGTCTGCCTCAACTTGACACCCCGTGACAAGCTGTTATATAAACACACACACACACACACACACAGTTATCCGACCTTAAAGTATCTGTGTCTTTACAGAGGTGTAAAAATTAAGGTAGAGGAATTAAGGCTAGCATTTTCAAATTTGTGTCTCTCAAATATCAGTAGTGCTGAACACCCAGGATGAAAGCCTGGCCCAACTTTTGAAATCTGTGGCAAAACTCCTATTGACTTCAAGAGAAGCCAAGTGTCACCCCCTGGAGCTCCCATCCAAGTAAATGGGACTAAAGTTGCCCATTGTCACCGCAAGCAAATAGCAGCCATGAAGAGATTTCAGGACTCTTGATTCTTCAGCCTTGTGATCAATCCACAAGACTATAGGGGACCAGAGAAATTTACAACTTTTGCCATGTAAGAGAATGTACGGTTCCCATATTCACTATAGATCATCCAAAAAAAAAAAAAAAATCACTCAATCCCCAAGTTTGTAATTCAGAAAGACTAAAAATAATGTGAATGAAATCTGTTCAAGTGTCATCTGAACAATTGAAGAATGTTTAATCTTTCTTAAAATCTATTAATGTTCCATTCCTTGCCTAACCTATCATTTATTGCTAGGGTTTTCAGGTAAATAGCTATAGGAATTAAACAGATTTGGGCAAGTGTTACCATTCTAAACCACAGTAGAACACTAACTTATCTAATCGCTATCCCTATCAAAAAATAAATCACAACCAGACTGATGGAAATTGTATTACTATAAAATGTATATTTAATTAAGTTTGAACTACAAGGAAGTTTTACATAATTCGATAACTAGCAAACCCATTAGGCTTCCCTTATCTCACGGTATATTAATGTTCACTGAAAATAGTGTATACTGCTGCATTTCCATTAACTCTTATTCACAGATGAGAAAACCACTAATTCTCTCCCTTGTGTTCAGCGCAAATCTAGGACCTTGACATAAATTTCACTGATCACAAAGCACTATAAGATGTTAACCATAGTTTTTCTTTTTTTTTTAAATTATCAAGGGTAGAAGAATTCTCTACTCCGCCAAAACAATTAATAGACAAGAGGAATCTTATTTTAGGGAGATGTTTTATTTAAGTCTCTTATGGTTACTAATTAATTTCTACTGCTCTTGCCTTTGTGCTTCTCCTGCACGTACTGCCCTACGTACGAACCCTATAAAAGTGAACTGCTTAGGAAATTGTGCACAGTTTGCAAAGTCAGAGCAGGAGACCTGAATTGTCAGATCCCAGATTTCACTTGCATGCAATACCCGTGCACTCACATCTATGGCCACAAATGGTTTGCACACGAAAATTTTATCAACTGCTCACACAAGTCTTGGGCTAGGTCTACACTACCCGCCTGAATCGGCGGGTAGAAATCGATCTCTCGGGGATCGAATTATCGCGTCTCGTCGGGACGCGACAATCGATCCCCAAATCGACGCTCTTACTCCACCAGCGGAGGTGGGAGTAAGCGCCGTCGACGGGGAGCCGCGGAGGTCGATTTTGCCGCCGTCCTCACAGCGGGGTAAGTCGGCTCTGATATGTTGAATTCAGCTACGCTATTCGCGTAGCTGAATTTGCGTATCTTAAATCGACCCCCCCCCTGTAGTGAAGACCTGCCCTTAGTGGTGAAAAATAACATGCGCAGGCAAAGACAGAATTGAGGATCCATTGAAAATAAGTATCCTCTCATTGAAGTCAATGGGAATTTTGCCAATAACTAAAGGAAAGAGAAATATTTGGGGTCAAATCTTTCTCTCTAAGGCTTGGTCTACACTTACCCCCCAAGTCGAAGTAAGGTACGCAAATTCAGCTACGTGAATAACGTAGCTGAATTCGACATACCTTACTTCGAACTTACCGCGGTTCAGACGCAGTCCACACGCGGCAGGCAGGCTCCCCGTCGACTCCGCGGTACTCCTCTCGTTGAGCTGGAGTACCGCAGTCGACGGCGAGCACTTCCTGGTTTGATTTATCGCGTCCAGACCAGACGCGATAAATCGAACCAGAAAGTTCGATTTCCAGCCGCCGAACTAGCGGCTAAGTATAGACCAGCCCTAAGTTTCAAACTCTAGCATAAGAGTATCAGAGCAAAAAAAAAAAAAAAATTTTTTTTTCAAGGGACAAATCTTTTATGCAGAAAGCAGATCAGTTCTGTCATCATGGATATTGGATTACTTTTTGTCTACATGTTTCAGGAGAAAGGTCAAAGGTTTATTAGAGATTTTTTTCAGCATTTTAAAAAACAGCAGTTTCCTCTCTGCTAGCTCTAATCAATATTTGCATGTAACACTTTCAAACAATTACCTGGAACATAGGAACAAAAATAAAAGTTATTAAACAATTTTGACTATTTCAACATAAACAGCAACAAATAAATTCTCTTGAATTAGAAGGGAATTCACAATCAATCCAAAATAAAAATGAAGGCTTTATTTACAAAACATCAATATTTAATAACCACACTGATTCACAGTCTGTTACAATTCTCCACATTAACTAATCTAAAAGTTTAAGTGGGACTTGTGTTTCACATAACTTTATATCTAAACAAATTCAAATCTTATACTTTTCATTATTGCTCTTTCCCTTTCAAATGATTTTAAACAAGGGCTCCCCAAACTCAGGCTCTATTTGATCCTGCAGTGAAATCACAAGGCTGACCTTGTGACATCAGAAGCACCACCAAAGAAAACAGTGACAATGGTAAATGCCAGATAACATCATTAGATCAAGCAGAACTGGAGTAATTGGAAGTTCTTAACCAAAAAACAGATTTTCAAATAGCAGCAGGAGGCAGAAAAATGTAAAGGCTCAGTAAATTGATTATATTTTCAAGTTTGCCAAAGTATGAAAGTTCCTCTTTGAGGGAATTAAAGCAGAGTGGCCCCGAAGAGAAGCTCATTTTTGGATTTGAAGCTATAATTTATAAGTTAAAATTCAACTAATATCAAAGCAATTGATATAGCTATCTAAGTTTAAAACCACACAAATGGAAAAAGCACCTTTGAGGTCCTTATGCTTATCTTGTAAAAAGAACAAAGGAAAGATGTTAATTTTATGACTATTTTCTAAGCTTGGGTACATGGCACAAAACATATAGATCTCCATAATCATTTAGGTCTAAACTTGAGACAAAAGCTATTTTTTTAAGCTATACCAGGGGTCGGCAACCTTTCAGAAGTGGTGTGCCGAGTCTTCATTTATTCACTCTAATTTAAGGTTTTGCGTGCCAGTAATACATTTTAGCATTTTTAGAAGGTCTCTTTCTATAAGTCTATAATATATAACTAACCTATTGTTGTATGTAAAGTAAATAAGGTTTTTAAAATGTTTAAGAAGCTTCATTTAAAATTAAATTAAAATGCAGAGCCCCCCGGACTGGTGGCCAGGACCCGGGCAGTGTGAGTGCCACTGAAAATCAGCTCGCGTGCCACCTTTGGCACACGTGCCATAGGTTGCCTACCCCTGAGCTACACAATTGTGGGGTACTCCAGACCTTAAAATATTGGTACTTATTTTATTAATTAAGCCAAACCAGTAGCAGGAGGTGTAGAGATATCATACCTACAGCTATATTTAAGGTTCTCTGTCAACTTAGGGTTTTTTTCATGATTCATAATCAGCTATGTTTGCTGTGCACTAAAACTTTGCATGAAATTTTTAATAATAAAATTTAGACGTCATTCTAGCACTCTTTTGTAAAAGTCTAACTAAATTTACAAAATGAAATTAAGCTTATATGAAAAAGTTTTTCCCATATTCAAAAGTCAAAAATATCAAATTTTAAAAATAGCATACCCACAACAGACAGCAATTTTTTGCAGGGAAATTCCTTTGGTATCATAATAGTATATTCTAATACCAGAATGATTCTAGCAATTTTTAAACTTGCTTAAATGATTATCCAGTAATAAAAAAATCTGATGACTGTTAAAAATTAAGCCTGCAACACACTGAAAAACAAATTCTAAGTTGAAATTGGCATTTCATCCATATCTTTTGGACTCACTCCTTCACCTCCATCCACACCAATGGCATGAGTTACAGCAATGCAAGTTTTCAACTTATATTTTTATGGGCATCTCCCCCTGCTAATTTTTAACCGCAATTTTATTTAAAGGTAGTTTTTCCACTGGTGGATTAAAAGGAATATACACACTCCAAATTAAGAACTATATAATATGGACAATTTGTAAAATCACAGTACAATTAACCATGATAATATTGTTTCTTAGGATACACAAGAAAAATGGCACAGGGTATTTATAGTGTGCCAAATACACCTCTACCCCGATATAACGCTGTCCTCGGGAGCCAAAAAATCTTACCACGTTATAGGTGAAACCGCATTATATCGAACTTGCTTTGATCTGTCAGAGTGCGCAGTCCCGCCCCCCCGGAGCACTGCTTTACCGTGTTATATTCAAATTTGTGTTTGTCATAACTATAAAGGGAAGGGTAACAGCCCTCCTGTGTACAATACTATAAAATCCCTCCTGGCCAGAGACACCAAAATCCTTTACCTGTAAAGGGTTAAGAAGCTCAGATAACCTGGCTAACACCTGACCCAAAGGACCAATAAGGGGACAAGATACTTTCAAATCTTGGTGGGGGGAAGGCTTTTGTTTGCGCTCTTTGTTTTGGCGGTTGTTTGCTCTTGGGACTAAGAGGGACCAGACATCAATCCATGCTCTCCAAATCTTTCTGAACAAGTCTCTCATATTTCAAACTTGTAAGTAACAGTCAGGCAAAGCGTGTTAGTTTTATCTTTGTTTTCTCAACTTGTAAATGTTCCTTTTGCTAGAGGGTTTACCTCTGTTTGCTGTAACTTTGGACCTAAGGCTAGAGGGGGTTCCTCTGGGCTCTTTGAATCTGATTACCCTGTAAAGTTATTTTCCATCCTGATTTTACAGAGATGATTTTTACCTTTCTTTCTTTTAAATAAAAGCCTTCTTTTTAAGAACCTAATTGATTTTTCCTTGTTTTAAGCTCCAAGGGTGTTGGATCTGGACTCACCAGGAATTGGTGGGGGGAAAGGAGGGGGAATGGTTAATTTCTCCTTGTTTTAAGATCCAAGGGTTTGGATCGGTGTTCACCAGGAAATTGGTGGAGAAGTCTCTCAAGGCTACCCAGGGAAGGGTTATAGTACTTGGGAGGGAGATATTCTAGGGGAGAGGTAGACAGAGTTTCCCAAATAACTCATAAATAATTTGGGTGGTGGCAGCAAAACCAGATCTAAGCTGGTAGTTAAGCTTAGAGGTTCTCATGCAGGTCCCCAATCTGTACCCTAGAGTTCAGAGTGGGGAAGGAACCTTGACAGTGTTATATCGGGTCGCGTTATATCGGGGTAGAGGTGTATCAGGAAAAAGAAGTTCACATACTTGGACTGCATTTTTTGAGCAGGATTTCCTTCTTTTCTCGTGTTGATTTTTCTGTATTTGTAGAGTCTGGAAAAGTAAGTGGGTGTTCTTTTGGCTCCACTGCACCCATTTTGTCACCTTTTAAAGAATCTGGTGCCATCAATACAGTATTTTCTTCTGGTAGTCTAGTTTTTGAAAGACATTGTTTTCCTTCCACATAGTAGTCCATTTTAGAATTTAGTTGCCCAAGCATTTTTAATGTATCATGATGCTGCATCTTTGAATTTTCACTTGAATGGAGCAACTTACCAGTAGTTTGAGGGCAGCTAGTCACGCTAGTTTTGCAGGATATTTTCTGAATATTTTGAGGCAGTTTATTCAGAGGGCTAGAACCCAGGGCTTCTGCAGTCTCAGTGGCTACTCCACCTGACATGCAGTTTAAGGTCACACTTATTGTACTTTCTGAACATTCAGTTAGCTTGCAGTCACTCTCTGTTGAAACACCACTTGTCTTAACAGTTCTCTTCCTTTTTTTGATAAGAGCAGTGCACTGTTTATCTGACCCTTCAAACAGTCTATCTTGTTTGTGGCTTAAAAAGTCTCTTTTGCAACTCACTTCAGGAGCACTTGGCGATTTCTGCTGAACTTGCAAAGGAAAGTGTCTTACTTGCATTTCACTTTTCTTCAAATTAGAAGGTGAAAAAAAGTCATCATACGAAGCTTCCTCTATGTCTGATGACTTGTTACGTGTGGTCATTGCTACAAGAAACTCATTTTCAGACCCTACCTTACATGACGAGGTGGTCAATTTCATATTATATTTTTCTCTTTTTGGTTTCCCCCTTATTTTGTATCTGACACTACAATCCCTTGTGTCAACAGGAATATTTATGTCAACCAAATGCATATTAATAGAATCTTCACTGCTCACTAATGAATCAGACTGATTACCTGTGGTAACTGTAGCAGCTTCCAACTGGACCATTTTTTGGGAAAGAGTGATGTGACTCAAGCCTTTTTCTTGGAGAAAAGAACTTTTGGTTGAAACTGACGCAGAAGTCAGAGTATCTTCACCACTCTGATTTAGGTTAGGGGAGACTTCAGATTTTCTCTTTTTAGCAAATAGTTCACCTTTTAGAGGGTGTTGCAAAATTAGTTTTTTGTTTAAATGTTTTCTGTTAGATGATTTTGGAGTTAAGTTCCCTTGGTCACTGCTAGAAAACAGAGAATACTCTGATGCAGGTGTTGAAACATAAATATCACTTTCAGCTGATGCTGGTTTCTGATTTTTGTATTTACAGTTTCCCCAAATGTCATCAAAACTCGAGTTTAAAGAATCACTGATGTGCTCTTCTGCAAGACATTAAGAACAGCAGTATAAACATTTTAACAAAATGGAATAGTACAAAGTTAAGTTAGTGAAGTATGTGGGAAGTTACTGAAATAATTGTCCAAGGATTTAGCCACTTAACATTCACACGGCTAAGATTTTCACTGAAATATTGAAAAAATGTATTTCTGTATTTTCTCTCTTAATATATTCACTTTATAAAGTGTTTGGTGGAAGAATGTGATAATTTTAAAAGAACCTTTTCAGAACTCGAGCAATCCAGGACTCAGATACAGACTAGAAGAATGTTTGATTATTCTAGAACAGCTCTCAGAAACCTGGCATGATTTCCTTTTAGAAAGCCATGTTGACTTTTTCCCTACATATCATGTTCATCTGTGTCTGGTAATTCTGTTATTTACTATATAGATTCAACCAGTTTGCATGGTAATGAAGTTATGCTTACCAGCCTGTAATTGCCTATAAGGCTGTCAAATTCATGATAGTTAACTCAAGAGATTAACTCAAAACAAATTAACTCGATTAAAAAATTAATCAGGATTAATCACAGTTTTAATCACAAATTTAAATTGGTATTTTATTATTGTTTATTTGAAATATTTTTGGATATTTTTCTACATTTTCAAATATGTTAATTTCAATTACAACACAGAACACAAAGTGTACAGTGCTCACTTTATATTATTTTTTATTATAAATATTTGCCCTGTAAAAAACAAAAATAGTATTTTTCAATTCACCTCATACAAGTACTATAATGCAATCTCTTTACGAGAGTGCAAGTTACAAATGTAGATTTTTTTTTGTTACATAACTGCACTCAAAAACACAACGTCAAACTTTCAAACCTGCAAGTCCACTCAGTCCTACTTTATGTTCAGTCAATTGCTAAGACAAACAGGTTTGATTATATTTAAGGGAGATAATGCTGCCTGCTTCTTATTTACAATGTCACCTGAAAGTGAGAACAGGTATTCACATGGCATTTTTGTAACCCGCATTGCAAGGTATTTACATGCCAGATATGCTAAACATTCATATGCGCCTTCGTGCTTCGGCCACCATTCCAGAGGACATGCCTCAATGCTGATGACACTCGTTAAAAAAAAATGCGTTAATTAAATTTGTGACAGAACTCCTTGGGGGAGAATTGTATGTCTCCTGCTCCATGGTTTTACTCGCATTCTGCCATACATTTTGTGGTATGGCAGTCTTGGATGACAGTCAAGCATCTGTTATTCAATTTAAGAACCTTTTCACTGCAGATTTCACAAAACACAAAGAAGGTACCAATATGAGATTTCTAAAGATAGCTATAGCACTCGATCCAACATTTAAGACTCTGAAGTGCCTTCCAAAATCTGAGAAAGACAAGGCGTGGAACATGCTGTCAGAAGTCTTAAAAGAGCAACACTCCAATTTGGAAACTACAGAACCTGAACCATCAAAAAAGAAAATCAACCTTCTGTTGGTGGTGTCTGACTCAGATGATGAAAATGAATGTGCGTCAGTCCACATTGCGCTGGATAGTTATTGAGCCGAACCAGTCATCAGCATGGAAGGATGGCCTCTGGAATGGTGGCCGAAGTATGAAGGCGCATATGAATGTTTAGCATATCTGGCACGTAAATACCTTGCAATGCCGGTTACAAAAATGCCATGTGAACACCTGTTCTCACTTTCAGGTGACACTGTAAATAAGAAGCAAGCAGCATTATGTAACCAAATCTGTTCGTCTTAACGGTTGGCTGAACAAGAAGTAGGACTGAGTGGATCTGTAGGCTCTAAAGTTGAACGTTGTTTTGTTTTTGAGTGCAGTTATGTAAATACAAAAAAAAAATCTACATATGTAAGTTGCACTTGCATGTAAAGAGATTGTACTAGAGTACTTGTATTAGATGAACTGAAAAATACTATTTCTTTTGTTTCTTTTTTACAGTGCAAATATTTGTAATAAATAATAATAATATAGAGTGAGCACTGTATACTTTGTATTCTGTGTTCTGACTGAAATCAATATTTGAAAATGTAGAAAACATCCAAAATATTTAAAAAAATAGAATATCATTTAACAGTGCGATTAAAACTGCAATTAATCGCAATTATTTTTTTAATTTCGTGATTAATCACAATTAATTTTTTTAATAGCTTGACAGCCCTAATTGAAAAGCTGGCTTTTAGACTTTTTTTTTTTTTTTTTTAAACAGTGTTACATTAGCTATCCTCTAGTCATATGGTACAGAAACTGATTTAAAGGATAGGTTACATACCACAGTTACTAGTTCTGCAATTTCATCTTTGAATTCCTTCAGAACTCTTGGGCCTGGTGATTTATTACTGTTTAATTTATCAGCTTGTTCCAAAACCACATCTATTGACACCTAAATCTGGAACAGTTCCACAGATTTGTCACCTAAAAAGAATGTCTCGGCAGTGGGAATCTCCCTCACATCCTCTGAGTGAAGACCGATGCAAAGGATTCATTTAGTTTCTCCACAAAGGCCTTGTCTTCGAGTTCTCTTTTTGTATTTAATTCTCATTTTGCTTCCAGTATCAGACTGTTTGAACTACACACACAAAAGTTTATATAGGACTACTAAAAGACAAGAGAACCAATAGTGAACCAAGACAGCAAGCCACAAGAACAAGGATGGGCATTTACCTCATGTAGTTTCTCATGCTCTTTCATTACAGTTCTTACATTTTACATGCTTTTCAAATCAAGGGGACAACTTTTTTACTTTTACCACTTGTATTCAAATATAAGCATGTTTTCCCAAATCTCGTAGGGATATTTATCCTTGCAACACATTAAGGATTGTGAAGCACTCTGAGATATGCTAATAAAAAGTGCTATATAAGAGAGGTTGTCTCATTGAAGTCAAAATCTGAGTATGTGACACTACACTATAATACAAACTATCTAGAATATATTATGGTTTTACTTAGAACATTTATAATTTTAAAAAATATATTTCACAGAACTTAAAGTTACATTATTTACCTGGCAGCAATGCACTTGCAGAACTGGTGACACCAAGAGACTCTCCATATCCAGGCTGTGTTGAATTAAGTGTAGATATCTGAGACATTTGTGAAGCTAAAAAATAATTTATGAATAGTTTATTACACTTTTTTCCCTATGCAAATTTCAAATTTAAAATGCTCGTCTATGCTAAGAGACAAATCCAAAAAGTCATTAACATAGTTACTGTGATGCAAAACACGCACATACAAAATTATAAGCAAACAGGCCTGCGATATATTTGCAACCAATACCACTTTCTGATATATTGAACCTCCATAAGCCAAGAACGCTAAAATGCTTCAACCTGGCTCTCTCAGTCCCTCCCTAAGTAACTTAGATACTTTTAAAAATTCCACCCTTAGGTGTCTAAGTATGGGTTTAGAAGCCTAACTTTAGGCTCCTATTTCTGAAAATTTTGGCGCCTGTGTCTATAAACAAGTTCACAAGTGCTTTGTTAAAGTATTGAAAGTCTAATTAGCTTTTTATTGTTAACTGTGAAGGGATCTTAGTGTGAAGTTAAAAGAGAAATTATGCCACTAAGGGAAAATACAATTTTAGCCCTTGACACTGCAAACACTTGTGCACCTACTAAAATTTCAAGCACTTGAATGCTCCCATTGAAATCAGTGGAACTATTTATGTGAGTAAAGTTATGCATGTGCTTAAATGTTCACAGGATCAAGGCCTTAATCTTCATTGTTTTGAATTCTGCAGATAGTTCTGTAAATTCAAATACCAGTAGTGGTATTTGCAAATACAGTGTTTATACTTCAGTTCATTGTAAATTTTAATATTACAAATAGCACAAACTTGCACAGCTTAATATAGCCACAACCCAATTTAAACCTGTTTCTTTAAAAAATATTTAAATCGATTATTTAAAATCAGACCACCCAGTGCTACTTTGTATAGTAAATTAGTAACATTTAGATTGCTTAAGTCTTTTATCTATCACGAGCTCTCCCTTTTATAGTGACCTGACATTAAGTGCATGAATAAAAATTAAAAAAGGAAAAAGCTGGTTTGGCTGGAATTTTCAAAAAGGTCCAATTTTGTGGAATTTTTGTTCAAAACTAGAGGACCATGCTATTACAAAAATCAATATTTTAACACTGAATTTGTTTCAAACAAATTTAATCCCATAAAAACAAATACTTCAAAACAAAAACAATTACTTCAAAATAGCATGTTTCTGGTATGAAAATATATATTTTTAAATCTAAAAACAAATCAACATTTGAGTCAAGAAATGTGATTAAATAAGATTTCACTCTCACAAAGTGTTACTTGCATAATTCTACTGTGCATATCAGCAGAACCATTGCAGTTTATGTTATCTGACAATCACTGATTTCAGTTACAGTATGAAATGTCAGATGGTATTTAAATAGACATATTAGGGAATATTAAAATAATAGCACCAGTGAGTGGGAAGAATCTTTAAGAATTTCGAGTATTTCTGTGGTTAGTGGGAATGTTTTTAGTAGCAGGAACAAAAATGCTAAATTTACCATGTTGCTGCTCATGACTGGAGTGTGACCAAGTAGTATGTGGCTGGTTATTATGAAGTATTTTGAGCACCATAGAATCATAGAAATGTAGGTCTGGAAGGGACCTTGAGAAGTTAAAGTCCAACCCCCTGCACTGTGGCAGGACCAAGTAAACCTAGGCCATCCATTATAGATGTTTATCCAACCTGTTTTTAAAAACCTCGAATGATGGGGATTCCGCAATCTCCCCTGGAAGACTAATCCAGTGCTTAACTGCCCTTATAGTTAGAAAGCTTTTCCTAATATCTAACCTAAACCTCTAGTGCTGAAGATTAAATCTATTACATCCTGTCCTACTTTCAGTGGACATGAAGACCATTTGATCACAGTCCTCTTTATAGAAGCACTTAACTTATCAGGTCCCTCCTCAGTCTTCTTTTCTCAAGACTAAACATGTTTTTTATCCTTTCCTCATAGGTCAGGTTTTCAAAAAGCTCCATGTTGTATTAGGACATCCATTTGGTATTTCTTGCTGAACACATGACTAACCCGGTCCAAGACCAGACTATTATGAGATATTCCAATCGGCTGCCCAGAAAGGTGTGTCACACCACATTGGAGAACAATCTGAGAAGCGCCCAAGCCAAAAATAAAATAAAATCTAGGGCTACTAAATGGTTGTTTTTCAACTACCAGTTCTCCATGGAACAATGGATTCTCTACACAGGAGCCCAAAGAAAGAACCTGGCATTGGCCACTGTGGGTAAACAGGATACTGGGCTGCATGGACCTTTGGTCTGACCCAGTATGGCCATTCTTATGTTCTTATGAACAAGGCAAAGAGGGAAAGACTATTTAAGAACAATTTCTCTTTGAAGTAGATCATTCATCGCCACATGCAAAAAGTAACGGCCAGGCAGGAGGGACTCTGCCTAGCCTGATATGCTGACAAGACCTCACACTCTCAGACGGATTGAGATTAGACTGGGGGAAGGAGTTGTGCATCTCAGGATACGTCTACACTACCCGCCGGATCAGTGGGTAGCGATCAATCTATTGGGGATCGATTTATCGCGTGTAGTGTAGACGCGATAAATCGATCCCCAATCGCTCTCCCTTTGACTGCTGAACTCCAGCTCGGCGAGAGGCGGAAGCAAAGTCGATGTAGGAGCGACGGCTGTCGATCCCACACCGCGAGGACACGAAGTAAGTGATTCTAAATCGATCTAAGATACGTCGACTTCAGCTACGCTATTCTTGTAGCTGAAGTTGCGTATCTTAGATCGATCGATTCTCCCCCCCCCCCCCCACAGTGTAGACCAGGCCTCAGGTATTCTGTCATTTTGCAAAGACCTATAACCCTAGTGCTTTTTCAGAGTAAAGTGACTGTGGTTAAAAAACGTTCATTGCTAAGCCTGTGTTCCTTGCCTTTCTGCCACATTGACCCTGAAAGCTGTGGCTTACAGTTAAACCCTAAGACAAACTCTGCAGGAGCATGTGCAAGCAAATAGGAGCTCAGGCGGTTTGAGTCACTGGTTCCAGTGTTTTGGTAGCCGAACTGTGGAGTCCCAAGAAAGGGCTCAGACAAAAAGATCTCAGCCTAGGCGTGTATCTTGAAGCCCAAAACTAGAAACAGATTAGACTCAGCCCAGACCCAGGTGGCTTAAAAAACACATGGGACCCAGCATTTGGGTCCACTTACAACAGACTGGTGACTGTCTAGAAAGGGATTAGACTAGACCAGGGAACATGTAGCAACAGGAGTGCAGAATATAATTCTTTAAATGGGTGGAGCAACAAAGTTCTGGTGGTGAACTGTAGGCAGATATTAGACTAACACAGCTGTGGATCCTAAATGACATACTCTGAAGACAGAGGGCAAAGGAAAAAAAGCTCAATTTGTTACTTGTTTTCAACCCCCAAAATAGGAAGAGTCCAGGAGCTTGACCATGGGATATTTTCTGAAACTGGACTATTAGTCTATGTCTATATTTAAACCACTACAGTGGCACAGTGACAGCACTTCCACTACACCACCGTAGCGCTTAAGTATAGACACTCACTACAGCAATGGGAGGGATTCCCCCATCACTGTAAGGAATCTACCCCTCCCGCTAGCCCCGAGAGGTGGTTGCTAAGTCGACTGTGAGCATTGTACCACTACTCTCCACGGTGCTTAGATCCATGCTGCCATCCAGAGTTAAGTATGCTGCCCATGCAATTTTTATCTCTGGCAAAAGAGGGTGCAGGGAATTCCAGAGAGCAACGGCCCTGATATTTATGGGTTCCACCAGTTGTTCACATCAGATTTCACTGAGAAAGGGGTAAAAACAATGGAGGTTCATTTGTGGAGGGGGAGAGGGGTATACTTCAATTCTATTTTATGATGATCATCTTGAAGTACCCAAAGTTCTTTAAAAAAATGTAAGCTACTCTAGAAACTATGAACTAGGATGACTTCATCTACCACTGAACTACTAATTCTGGGTTGAAATGGAGCACAAAGCAATAATCAACAGTTTAGATTACAAGAAATATTGTAAACAATTTTAACTGCAGGAAGAAAGCAATTAAGTTGATATTTCACCAGCACCCCTACTTTTGCAAGAGGTGCCAAAGGTTCTTTAAAGACTACAAGCAGTCAAGACTTTGGTTTTACATATTCTCTGAAAGACAGCATCTCCCAACACTATGCTATGTCAGTAGTTCAACGCTCAGAGGGCAGAGCCCTCATTCTAATGGATTACTAGCACCTATGGGTTCCTTGCAAATCCCTTATCCAAGCAATGACTTAACCCTGCTTGACTTGAATGATTTCAAGATAAAAATCGCATGACTACAGGTTGTCGGACCAAGAGTCCTCGATTTGGTTTCAATATTTATATATTTTTAATCATGCATTTTCAGTTTAAGTCAGGGTAGGCAGATGTTTCACAGCAACTTAATTTATCAATTCAAAAGAAAATTACACAGTCTTGGAACGTGTGCAGGGCTAGCATCAACATAATTCAGCAAGAAAGATGGCAACCATTTATGCTTTTTAATGAATTCATAAGGCTTAACTCCTTACCAGTAGGGGAAAGATTTTCCCTTTTCTCCTTCATGTCCTTTATTCTCTTTTCCATTGCACTGCACTGATCTTTTATCTTATTTGTAGGGCTATATGCAAGTGAACCATCATCCTCAAATAATAAAACAGGTATATCGGTTTCTAAAAAAGTAATTGTAATTTGCAGTTAATATGAGGCTTCCATATTTGAACAGAGCATGAATTTTTAAAGTACAAAGTTGTATTTTTAAATTCTGTTACTTAAAAACTACATTTCTACAATGCTGTCACCCACCGCAAGTTTAATAATGCTGAATTCCAAACAACTCCTTAAAAATGAAGTCCAATACTACTTTTTAAATTACTAAAAAGTAAATTATTCTTTAATACCAAAGCATGCATAATACTTGTAGTAGCTTTTCTTAGTTATTTATAATATGAATTCTCATTATGTTAACTTCAATTATAAAGTGATAAAAGTAAAAATAAGCTATATCTTATGAGTTCTCTTGAAACTTAAAACAACAAAGATATTTTGGCATGTCTTTTTGGTGCAGTGTTTAATTTTTACAATCTAACCAGAACTATGTATTAACTCACCGGTTGCTGTTTTTTGTATATCTAGTTCTTTAGCCATCAGGTCCAATTTTTTTTGTAGTCTTTTATCATTTTCTGGTGTTTTTTCAACAAAGTCTTTTGGCTGCATGCATTTGTGCTACAAGATTAACCACAGCATAAATTTCTCATAAATTAACTTGTACTTAACATTTCTCTATTTTATCATACAATACTATGTGTATTATATGATCATTCTACATCATTTATGACTCCCTGGTAAATCCCATTTAGCCAGCCATGGATAGACCATAAAATTTAGGGGGAAATTTTAATGCGAGTTTCAATGTAGATTAAGGAAAAAATGATTTCAGATTTATCAGAATGACCAATAAGAAATTAGACAAAACCACTGTGGACATTTTAATACTCATTTGAAAATATGGAATATTTTAGACTTGGATTAACATTTTCAAAAGTGCCTAAGCATATTTCTACACTGCAGATGAGATGAGATGAGATTCCCAGCGCAGGCAGGCAGACACGCTATCTCTGCTTGAGTTAGCATGCTAGAATATGCAGTGCATGTGTGTTGCAGCATACGCAGCTGCTCATACTAGCTGCCCAAGGTCAGACTCAGGGGGTCGCGTGGTCTTGTACTCGGGTGGCTAGCTCAGCTGCCACTAGTGCTGCAAAGTCCACACTACTATTTTAACACACTAGCTTGAGCTGAGCTAGCACAAGTCTGTCTACCTGGCCTAAGAATCACACCTCCCAGCTGCAGCATAGACATACTCAAAGTGATTTATGGCCCTAAAGTTTCATTTTCAAAAGTGACTTAGCACCTAGGAGGCCAAGTATCATTGAAATTAGGAACATGTCAGATCCCCACACACGTCAGTCATCCTCAAATCCCTACTCAAACAGATAAGCTTTGCCCAGTGTTCTGAAAGTTAGTAATTCAGACTCCCTTGGAACAAAGATGGGGGATGGGAAGAGAGATTCAAAATCAGGAAGTTTACTATTCTGTACATCATTTTAAAATTACACACTCACTTTTTTAATTAGAAGGGGTAACCCTTCATTAGTGTATATTGCAGGAAATAATGATTCATCAATATGGGCACCAGCTTCTCTGCATCTGTACAATATAATAAATAAGCAGTTAATACATTTACTTTGTTTAGAAATAGAATTTAATTTTAAAATGGTAAAAAGGCCATACCGATTAGCCACAACAAATATCTAAATTAACAGAGAGAACAGACCTAGAAATAATACCTGAAGGGAAGTGGAAAGCCCAAAAACTGTGCCTCTGACTCCTTAGTTGCCCAGCAGGCAGACAGCTCCTTACAAAGTCCAGCTGGCATGACTTAGCTCTCCATCATGCCAGTGGCCTTGACCTGCATCTGGGAACTAAAGGTCTCCTCTGATCAGGCAGTGAACTTCTTTCTAAGTGCCTATAAATTAAGGACTTAATCTGTTCCCTTTCTGAGAGTCTATTCTCTCAAACTAGGGTCCATAGAATGTCATGGGTAAGCAATAGTTTGAAAAGGAAGAGGAGATGTTTGCAGTCAGGCAAGTGAAGAGAAAGAGGCCCTATCCCATCTTGACTTTCACTTTTAATCATTCCTCACCCGGTCTTCACAAAGAGTGAAGGAACTAGCCCCTGACAAGGTCCATTTTTACTCATCCAGCTGACTTTGGCAAACATGCTGCCTCAACCCAGTCAGCTATGTTTCTTCCATTTTTCCTATTGGGAGTTTGGCCTGAGAATATTGGGACTAAAATCTTTGTGAGCTGGGGTCCTACCCATCTGTAGTTGTGAATAATTTGAGGGAAGCTGGGACACCACTTTGGGTACTAATATAGAATATACTACATAAAACAAAGAGCTAAAAAACAATTTTAACCAGAAACAGTAAACAAGTTTCATTACTCTACAATTTTTCAGTACCTAATAGAATTGACTATGAAAAAAAAATTATGAAGCATTAACACTGCACTAGGAACACTGCAATAGAGTAATTCAAATATGTGATTCTAGTGACACCTAGTGATCTTACATTTATAAAGTACACATTTTCAGAACTACAATATAGCATGATCTGAGTAATTTTAAGTTTTGGAGTAGAAAATATACGAACAAATTGCTTCACGGCCACAGATTTGTTTTATGCAGGGCCGGCTCTGGCTTTTTTGCCGCCCCAGGCAAAAAAGCCTCCCTCCGGGGAGCGCAGCAGGGGAGGGCGGCGAGCCCGGCCGGGGCCCCACTCTCCCCGACCGGCCGGAGCGCCGGGAGGAGGGCGGCAAGCCCGGCCGGGGCCCTGCTCTTTCCGGCCAGCCGGAGCGCCGGGGGGAAGGCGGCGAGCCCGGCCGTGGCCCCGCTCTCCCCGATCGGCCGGAGCGCTGGGGGAGGGAGGCCCTGCTCTTCCCTGCCAGCCGGGGCGCCGGGGGGGAGGGCGGCGAGCCCGGCCGCGGCTCCGCTCTCCCCTGCTGGCCGGAGCGCCGGGGGAGGGTGGCCCCGCTCTTCCCTGCCTGCCAGAGCGCCGGGGGGAGGGCGGTGAGCCCGCCGTGGCCCCGCTCTCCCCAGCGGCCGGAGCACCGGGGGTAGGGCGGAGAGCCCAGCCGTGGCCCCGCTCTCCCCGGCCGGCCGGAGCGCCGGGGGAGGGCGGAGAGCCCAGCCGTGGCCCCGCTCTCCCCGGCTGGCCGGAGCGCCGGGGGAGGGCGGCGAGCCTGCCGCCCGGCCCCGCTCTCCCCGGCCGGCCGGAGCGCCCGGGGGGAGGGCGGAGAGCCCGGCCGCGGCCCCGCTCTCCCCGACCGGCCGGAGCGCCGGGGGAGGGCGGCGAGCCCAGCCGCGGCTCCGCTCTCCCCAGGTGAGCGCCGCCCCCCTCCAGGTGCCGCCCCAAGCACATGCTTGGAGGACTGGTGCCTGGAGCCGGCCCTGGTTTTATGCAAAACGTGCAGTTTCAAAGAGTTAGATGTTAGTACATTAATCTGAATTTACTGAGGTTTTCTGAAACATCAGGCAAAGGTGATTTAAAAAAACATGATAATCAATGAGCTTTAAACAAATGGCTAATATTAAATCCCAGATGCTACCACCTAGAACATAACTAGACTATCTTAAATATGAAAAAGTTATATTAACAGCACTGAGGTGGAGAGAATTTAAACAAAAGTCAGGAAATGAAAACATTTGTTCAATTTGCATAAGATCAGTTAAACTGTTAATAAAAGCACCTTTAATATTTAATATATGCAATGTGAATAAGTCACACATTTCTAAGAGAACATTGATTTGCATTTCCTATCATTTTGTGTAAAAATCTGGAGCCTTAATGCTACATCAGTATAGTTTTTTAAAGAGACACATTGAATTTAGAAATTTCAGTTCCCTGTAGCATCTGAACACCTTTTCTCCAAACTTAATTTGGGCATCTAAGATGAACTTGTGTTTAACAAACACACAGAACTTTCAATAATCTAAGCAGAAATCAGTGCCAATCAGGTTGAATTGCATAGCATCTCTGATGAAATAGTCCGTAAAAACTGGTGAGATAATGTTAACAGGGTAGACAAGACCTGGATTTCTAAAGCAAAAATAAGTGTTTTTCTGCTTAATACATGAAACAAAAGCACCTTTCAGAGGTTCTACATATTCCACAAAGAATCATTTCTGCTCTCCTGCTTTTGAGTTATCTTTACTTTTTGGCATTTCCTGACTTTTCAGAGCTTAGCCTTGCAACTTTAACATTATTTTAACAGTATTTCTCTCTCTAATAGACATGTAAGTTAAGTTGTGGCATTATATTGAGCTCAGATACAAATAGAGGGATTATCCTCGCCCCAAAAAGCTTTTCAAATAAAATTCAGACTGATGAAACAAAAGAGCACCAGAGACGCATGGGTTTGGAGCTCAAACTGTGGTTTTGTAAAAAGCCTCTAATACCCAGATCATGTTCTCATGGAGGTACTCTATGCATTGTCTGAGGCACCTGTAGTGATCTTACTCTCAGGAAACTCTCGCTGTCTGGGTTCAGAAATAATTGAGTTTTTCCCATACTCAGCACTTAGGTTTCCAGTATTTATGAAATTATGATTGATCTGGGAGATATATTCTGCATCAGTATTTGAACTTTATTCAACTAACTGAATAGACAATTGGCTGATTTCCTTCTGAATGACAGGAATGTGATCAATCACCATAGTATCTTCTCTCTTTAGCTGTTTCCTCTCAACAACCAGGCAGCTTAATTCCATTTTCCTGGCTATAGATGACATAGTATTTTATTCTAGGCCATGGACTGGTCGTTGTCATATAATGCCCTGTCTGAGCAGAGCAACCATAAGAGGTTCACTCAGATTCATGAGTTCCAAAAAGTCTGAAATACTTAGGGCTCCCTTCTGGCTGAGGAGACGGAGCTTCATTGTGGGCTGGCTCAAGCCTGTGAATGAACCCCTCACAGGAAATAAGGACTATGATAAACCTCACCACCTTCTGCAAGTGTAAGGCTCATTTATTTGACCTGCCTTGTCTAACAAACTAATAGCAGCATGTGTAATATATAAGGCTACGTTTTAGTCACGGGTATTTTTAGTAAGAGTCATGGATAGGTCACGAACAGTAAACAAAAATTCAGAGCCTACGACTCATCCATGACTTGTACTATATACACCTGACTAAATTTTGGGGGGGGGAGGGGGAGGCAGCCTGGGGGTGCCTCGGGGCAGGTGGCAGCGTGCAGCCCGGGACCCCTGCTGGTGCTGGGGAGGGAAGGCAGTGCACGGCCCGGGCCCCCTGATGATGCTGGGGGAGAGGGGTTGGCAGGCTCCCTACCTGGCTCTGCGCCTCGCCAGAAGTGGCAACATCTCCCTCCCTCAGCTCCTAGGCGGAGACGTGGCCAGGCAGCTCTGCATGCTGCCTCCGCCCTGAGTGCTGCCTCCGCATCTCCCATTGGCTGTTAACCGTGCCAACAGGAGCTGAGGGGCGGTGCCTGCAGGCAGAGGCAGTCACCTGGCCACACCTCCGCTTAGGAATGTTGCCACTTCCGGGGAGCGCCCCTCCCCCGAGGTAAGCGCCGCCCAGAGCCCTCACCCCCTCCCACTTCCCAACCCTGAGCCCCCTCCCACACTCAAACTCCTGCTGGTGATGCAGGGGGACAAGGGGATTGGGGTGGCCCAGGACTGCCCCAGCAGTAGCCGGTGCAGCTGGCTTGGGGTCTAGCTGCAATGGCCACTGGAAAAGTCACAGAGGTTCCAGAAAGTCACAGAATCCGTGACTTCTGTGACAAACCCACAGCCTTGGTAATATATATAAAAAAAATCCAGAACAAAAATACTCCATTGTACACTTCCCTTCTCCCTCCCCCCCTCCCCCGGGAGGTGAAAGAATAAACATGAGACAGATGTTTATCACATTGCTTAATGCACTATTGGAAGATGCTCAGATACTACAGTGATGAGTGTAGTCTAAGAACCTATATAAAACAGAACTTACGCTCTTAACATTGGAACCCCCATGGTTGCTCTGCTCCCACTTCATTCTCTGGATTATTCAGAGAGAGCAAAAGGTGAAAACATAGATGTAGAAGATCCTCTGACTAGGTCTAAGACACTGCATCCACAGCAACAGCACCTGAACCACATTTTTTTGAGAAAATATTTGAATTGTGTGTTTAGAAAGTAACCACAGGCACCAGAAGGATTTTGACAAAAAACTCAAGATGCTGTGACTAACTGGAAGGGCAAAGCTCTGTATTTAAGTGCTGGCACTCATAAGCAAAAGTGAAAGAATTTTCTTCTGTGTTGGACAAAATTGTCTATGACACTCAGAGGCTTGTAGATGACAGAAAACCTCCCTATGATATGGTTGTCTAGGCCAACTTCAAATTTGAACTTTTTCAAGTGGCTGCTGAGAAACTTCCAAACCCAGGACCAATCTATCCCTGCAAGATCAAATAGGAACCAGATTAAATACGGCCCTCATTCTTTCTCCTGTGCGGGCACATTCTATATGGAGCTGATTTTTTAAAAGCAGGGCAATTTACTCTGATTGTTAGAGCGGGCAGAGGGTAGCATACTAGAAGCTGTTTCCTAGGAAAAAGTAGAAATTCTACTGTGCATTTATTCTGCATGATCTCCGTTGCCCATCTGTCCAAAGTAGTTTTGGTACAGGTCTCTGAGAAGGGAGGGCTGTATGAATATTAGAGAATACACTGTGAAATCAGGTTTACAGTCACTTCACTTTTCAAAATAGAACCACGCTCTTCTTCTTTAGGGAACCAACATGCCTTAAAATAAAAATACCAAATGTACATCACTTCAGTGTGATCTCTCAAAATGGCCAGTTAGCCATAGTTGTGAAGGTTATTTTAAATATACAAAAAACTTATATACTGTACTTTTTTGCAGTTCTTAAAAACATAGTACTTGATTAGATTCCCTCTTCCCCTTGGAAAAAGTCACATTTTTAATATACAGCACTACTCACTTTTCCACCCAGAGTACAGAAACTAGTTTTACTCCAGTCTTCTGTGCCTTTCTCCATGTAGCCAAATGTCCTTCTTTGAAGACTACATGAGTCACTTGCTTGTTAAAAGTTTTTGAAACCTGCAGGATTATACAAAGAAGTATTATATATTTCAGTTCACTGATCAGCAAACCTTCATGAAGCTACATAAAATAGTCCACTTTTATTGCAAGTAGTAATCCAGGGACTTCATAAAAGTTACTGTAAACAATTATTTTAAAGCGTGTTTCGTCAAAGATTGTTTTGATCTTTCCTTTCTCAGCAAGAAACATCCAAAAACAAGCCAATTCGTTAGTCAAACTAGTATGTTACTAAAGAAGAGCTTTTACCACCTCAAAGCAAGAATTCCAACATGTAAAGTAGGATAAAATGGACTCATGATTTCAAACAGAGATTTGTTCTAGGCCACCACTTTTTAGCTGCCTGCTGTACCCTTATTTTCAACCCTCCGAAAGCCTTGGAAAGGTTACCTCATTTAAGAAGCCCTAAATATGACTTCATGCATCAGGTGTCACAGGAGGTAGACCCAGAAACTAGTCAATATCATCCAAAATGATAATAAGTGCATCACCATATAATATTAAAGTATGCACATGGCTGAAGAGTTCTAATGTTACCTCTCTCTAACTGATTTTCATCCATATATAATTTATTTGTACTTTTGAAATGGCCCTCACAGCAGGCTGGCCTACACTACAAAACTAATCACAGTTGTGTAGAATCATGACAAGAGAACAACTATATGCTCAGTGTGTATCAGGACAAGTCACTTTCAGCATCATGTTGACTAATCACAATTAAACCCTCAGGAACTGTATTACACTGACCACTAAATCATGATAATAATTTCACCTAACTAAACCTTCATAAACATATAAACACAGTAAAATTTTGTAGTGAATACAAGCCAGTGTTTAGAACTCAATTCAAATTGTTTCACCACTCACCATCTTTCTTACGTTCCACCCTTCCTTCATCTATGTTAGCGTATATACTCGTTCATAAGCCGATTTTTTTTTAGTAAAAAGGGGAAGCACCAGAGAAGGGGGTCAGCTTATGAACAGGAATAGAGAGGGAGAGGTGGGACACAACCCCTCCCCCCAAAAGAGGGAGCAAGGAGTGGCAGCACAGCTAACAGAGCCAGAAAAGAAGAGGCGGGGTCAGAGTCTCTCCACTTCTGGCCACACTGCTCTTCCCCCAGGCTCCGAAGCAGCTGCAGCTCCAGGGCTGGCAGGCTGCAGCCCTGGGGCTGGCAGGCTTCAGCCGTGCCGCTCGGCCCTGCCCCCCAGAGCACGCTGGGGCCGTGCTGCCCGGCCTGCCAGAGCACGCTGGGGCCGTGCTGCCCGGCCCACCAGAGCACGCTGGGGCCGTGCTGCCCGGCCCAGCCTGCTGGAACATGCTGCGGCTGCGCCGCCCGGTCTGGCCTGCCGGAGCAGGCTGCGGCAACACTGCCCAGCCTGCCGGAGCAGCTCCAGCCAGGCCAGAGACATGCTCCTTGGCCCTCCCCAGATAAGGTGGGAAGGAATGGGGAGAGTGTGGGGGTCCCGGGCTAGGGGTGGGGTCATGTGGGGTGTGGTCACAGGGGTTACTCCCCTGACTCCCAGCTTCTCCTCCCACAAAAATTTCCCCACCAGTTGCTGTCCCAGCCCGTCAGGGTAAGCAGCTGGCATGCCGGGACACTTTGTTTACTTAAGTTTACCTCCATGCCTGCGGACGCTCGAGGTAAACAAACCATCTCAGCCCACCAGCGGCTTATCCTGATGGCTCGGGAGCCAAAGTTTGCTGACCCCTGAATTATAGGGTCGGCTTATGAACGGGTTATAAAAATTTTCCATTTTTACTTATTCATCTTGTGGGGGTCGGCTTATAAACGAACTGGCTTATGATCGAGTATATACGATACTTAAATTTTGCTTTTGACAAACTTGTAAAATATTATCTTAGCCAAAACAAAAATACCCATGTAGCCCTCAAAACACATGCATTACTCAAGAGATTACATGATCTTTCCGTCATCATCATCTCCTCACCTCATCCTCTTTGATCTTTTATTGTTCTTGTCAACTTAATTCTCTGAGGCAGGTACTCTGTTTAAGGTTCCATCCATGTGTATGGCACCACAATTAATCACTCTAATAGAGGATGCTGGAAGATTACTAGCATCTTGAAATCTTTTGGTGGGGTTCAAACTGACACCAGTCTGTCAGAAGACAACTCATATTGGGAAAGCTGTATTGACCTATGCACAAATTATAGTGTTGGACTTGAAAATGAAAGAGCTTCTTGGGACATGTAGAGATTGAGCATCTGTCAACCAACTTCACCATGCACCAGGGCCACTCATCCCAAAACACAATTAAAGACTTTGCTAAAAGTTAAGAATGTGTTTTGCAAATGATGAAGAAAGCGTGTGTTTAAAAATGTTTTTTTATATAAGTTACCTTCCCAAATGACTAAGAAATCTGATGAGGTTTCTAACCATCAGAGGAGTGAAGTTCTGGAACAGACTTCCAGGGGGAGAAGTGGGGGCAAAAGACATATCTGGTTTCAAGACTAAGCTTGATAAGCTTATGGAGGGGATGGTATAATGAGATTGGTCTTTGACTATTAGCGGTAAATATGCCCAATGGCTTGTGATGGGATGTTAGACGGGGTGGGATCTGAGTTACTACAGAGAATTCTTTCCTGGGTGTCTGACTGGTGAGTCTTGCCCACGTGCTCAGGGTTTAGCTGATCGCCATATTTGGGGTTGGGAAGAAATTTTCCTCCAGGGTAGATTGGCAGAGGCCTTGGGGGTTTTTCGCCTTCCTCTGCAGCGTGGGGCACAGGTCACTTGCTGGAAGATTCTCTGCACCTTGAAGTCTTTAAGGTTATGATTTGAGGACTTCAATGGCTCAGACACAGGTTTGATACAGGAGTGGGTGGGTGAGATTCTGTAGCCTGCGTTGTGCAGGAGGTCAGACTAGATGATCATAATGGTCCCTTCTGACCTTAAAGTCTATGATTCTATGTGCAAATTTACTGCTGGCTGCCAGAGTGAGTGATATCAAAAGTATCATTAACAGATGGACCAAAAACTGTATTTTGCTACTTGTGCTGTCATTCACGGTCAGAGAACCTTGAAAATCAGCAGCTCAGAATTCTCAAGACCTCAGTGTAATTATAGCCTGAACTGTCTACATGAAATAACACCTTCTTATTCAACAGATCTACTCCGTGTTAATTGTGAGTCACATTTGCTTTTGCGACAAATTATTATATCACCATGGACCTAGGAGCACTAGTCATGGACCACATCCCCATTGTGCTAGGCACTGTACAAACAGATCAAAGATGGTCCCTGCTCCCAAAAGCTTACAATCTAAGTATAAGACTAGAGACAACTGATGGATACAGACATACAGATTGTTTCTTTGTACTCCCCACAATGAGACAACATTGATCTGCATGATAGGAAGTGGTCTGAGCACACCAATGGTCTAATCATTGTCAAGTTTTTCACAGGTATCATGGCAAAGAAGAATTTGAAGGAGGTAACTTTGGGAGCTCCTCTCAACCATGAGGGACAGCATAGTAGAAAGCATGAAGGTACTTGTTTGAAAATTTAACAAGTGGGCAAGAGAGGCTGGCATCATGGGCCAATCAGAGGTGATGACAACATCTTCATAGTAAAAGAAAGATAAAGTAAGGCGGGCATAGGTCAAGAAGGGCTTGGAAGTTAAGACAAGTATGCAACAGAGAAGGCGAGGAATGCGAAAAGGGGCATGACATGAGTTGTGTGCTTTTATTTGTAGAACAAAAAAATGTTAATAATTATTACGTTTTTTTTATATAGAGCTTTTATCCAAAGTACTTTACAATAGTTAGCTAACATTACAAACAACATTTGGAAAGATCATTGAGACCCTCAGCAATTTTCAAGTGGTCCACGAAAAAAAAGTTTGAGAACCACTGACCTAAGTAATCAAGGCTACAGGGAATAGCCAATATGGATTTGTCAAAAAGGGTATGTCTACACTGGCAGACTTACAGCGCCGCTCAGAAGAGAAACCGCTGTTGTGTGTTCACACTGTCAGCTGCCTGTGCAATAGCATGTTCACTCTTGCAGTGGTATTCGGAGCACTGCTCTCTGGGCAGCTATCCCACAGAGCAGCTCTTCCTCTTCTGATGCTAAGAGTTGTGGGAAGGCAGAGGGGGGTCACAGGTCCTGGGTCCTGTCCCAATGCCCCGCGATTCATTGCTTCGCATCCCAGCAATCTCTGTGTTTCCATCCGCATTTGGCGCCATCTTTAACGGTTTGTGTACTACGCACTCTGCCTCTTCGGTCTGCAGGAATGGATCCCGAACTGTTGACCAGTATCCTGCTTGCTCTGACTGACACGTCAGGAGTGGCAGTGGAGTTATTCCTTAAATTACAAAGGCAAGAGGAGTGCGACATTGATCTTGCCACGCGTAGTAGCTACGACACAAGATTGCTTGTGGCATTCATGGAGGTGCTGACCACAGTGGAACGCCGCTTTTGGGCTCAGGAAACAAGCAGAGTGGTGGGATCACATCATCATGCATGTCTGGGATGACGAGCAGTGGCTGAAGAACTTTCAGATGAGGAAAGCCACATTCATGGAACTGTGTGATGAGCTCACCCCAGCCCTGCGGCACAAGGACACGAGAATAAGAGCTGCCCTGCCGTTGGAGAAGTGCGTGGCATTTGCACTGTGGAAGCTGGCTACTCCAGACTGCTACTGATTGGTCACTAACCAGTTCGGAGTGGGAAAGTCAACTGTTGGACTTGTGTTGATGGAAGTGTGCAGGGCCATTAATCGCATCTTGCTTTGAAAGACCATGACTCTGGGCAACGTGTGTGACACTGTGGATGGTTTTGCACAAATGGGCTTCCCTAACTGCAGAGAGGCGATAAATGGCACACATATTCCAATTCTGGCACCAGAACACCTAGCCACTTAGTACATTAATCGGAAGGGGTATTTCTCTATGGTTCTCCAGGCGCTTGTGGATCACCTTGGGCGTTTCACGGACATTAATGCAAGCTGGTCTGGAAAGGTGCATGACACATGCATCT